TACTGAGGGAGCACTCGAGCCCATCATCCAGGTCATCAGTTAAGATATTAAACAAGACCGGTCCCAATATTGAGCCCTGGAGGACACCACTTGTGACCGTCCGCCAGGTGGATTTCACTCCATTCAGCACAACAACTCTCTGTGCTTGGCCGTCCAGCCAGTTTTTAAGCGGGCTTAGTGTGCAGCTGTCTCGGCCGTGAGCCACCAGCTTTCCTATGAGAATGCTGTGGGAGACTGTGTCAAAGGCTTTACTAAAGTCCAGGTAGATGACATCCACAGCCTTCACCTCATCGACTAGGTGGGTCACCTGGTCATAGAAGGAGGTTATGCAGGACCTGCCTTTCAAGAACCCAGGCTGGCTGGGCCTGAGTCCCTGGTTGTCCTGCACCTGCCATTTGAGAGCCCTCAAGATGAACCACTCCATAATCTTCCCCAGCACCAAGGTCGGGCTGATGCCTATATATATCCTGTATAGTAAATATGTCAATATCCTGTATATGTCTTGAAATGGAAAGAGCAGAAACATCTCTACACATCCCATTTGAGGAGTCAGCTATACCATGGCCAGAGCTGTATTTTTCCCAGCTGTTCTGCACTGGTGAATGGATTCTTGAGATGCATGAATTTGGTGTACATGAACTCTGTTTTGCCAGTCCAAAATAGGCCAGTTCATACACTGAGACCTATAATGAGGGATGTTTAACTACTTCTCTAGTTTGCAACTCTAATCACATGAGACCTTACGCCCTGCAAGTTTTTTAAAATTTGTGGGGTTATCCAGTACTGGCTGAGTACTTCTTAAGTGTTTCTGCCCTGTTGTTCAGCAGCAATCAAATGAAGCTTACTTGTCGACCTATACAAGGTGTTGCAGTGGAATTGGTAATTTCCATCATTATGATTCAGCCTTCAGGGTTATATTGCTATCAAAAAGTTATCACTTCAAACAGTAAGTCCAAGTCCATTTGAAGTCTTGAGCTTACCAATTTTAAAGGCCTTTCCCAAAAGTGCTTGTATCCTATTTCTTGTAAGCTTGGGTTACAATGAGGAAAAGTGGTACACAATCTTTTTACTCATTTAAAGACGAGGAAGATCTGCTCAAGGTATACCCTTCTGTGGGCTGAATTTATATTCCTTGTTACGTATCAGCAACCACACAAACTCTATCCAGCACTTGATTGTTTGTGGAAAGACGGAAAACTGAGCTGCCATGCTGCCATGCTTCATTGGTTAGCTTAGAGATACAGCTACATCTGTGTGACTTTACCTGACTGTGACTACAGAAAAGGTGTCAATGTTTTAAGTGAGGGATGTGCTGTGGGACGTTTCAAGGCTTGGGTTCAGATATTCCAATTGCACTTTTTGGTGCACAGGTGAGGTACTCCCCACAGTGAACAGAGGACAATTGATAGTCCTGTCAAAGTTTTCAAAAAGCAAAAGAGTCCCCGAGCAATGCAGTCTCTTCTAGGTGTCATTTTCTGAACACTTTACATTTCTAACAGAGAAATTATTTTAAGGGTAAACTATGCAAAAGGTATCCTTTGAAACTATGATTCTATCATTCCTAAGTCTTTCAGGACTTTCCTTCCAGTATCCTGGAAACTGACGCTGAAGACTCAGCATCTCAGTCCCTTTCTTAGGAAATCACCATATTTTTATCCTTTTTTTTCCCCACTCTCCTTTTGGACCCCTTGGCCAAGAAGTGTTGATCAGAGGCTTCCATAAAACCCATGCAATGTGGCAATTTGCACCTGCTTGCTTTGTATCTGTCTAGCAGCAGATATTAATGTCAGTCCATATTGCTTTACATCCACTCAGTTAATTGATTCCAATTACTTTTTGGAATGTAAAATGATCTCACTTTTAAAGTGTAAATATAGTTAACGTAGGAAGCAAAAATACATCTAGGAAGCTATCTGGTGGAACTTCTGATCACCTTTTGGTAGTGATCCTGGATGGGTCATGGTTACTAGCAATAAGATAAAAAGACCTAAGTATTCTTGACATGTTCTGAAGCAATACAGGATATATGAAATGCATAAACTAAAATCACTGTGGTCTCAGTAATTATAGTTCCACCTGATTTGGTTTTGCTTTGCAAAAGATGATTAATATTTTTAACTGAACATAAGCATTTTGTTATACATCCTGAGGTAGTGCAGGGAAAGAATGTCCTAAGTGTTCACAGTGAAACTGCCAGTTCATCACTTAAGAGGTTTAGGATTGAGTTCCAATCTTAGTGCATTTTTTGGGGTTAGCGAATGGCCTGTGTCTGAAATAGAGTGATACAGGTCTTGGAAATACAGTTCTTAACTTGCAGACCTGGCAAGGTGTACCAGGCTAGAAAAACAAAACTAGTGCTGAGGATCTTGTTTTATATCATTCTTTTGCCTCCTTGTTCTTGAGATCATCAGCACAGTTTGGTCCCTGAGCTACCTCAGAACCATCTCAGGACTCTTGTGGCTTGCCCTGATAGCAAATGGCCTTTCAACATTGTTCCATGAGACTGAACTATTCAAGTCAAAAGCGTTACCCTTACCGTCCCTGATGACACCATGCTCATCCCACTAGGCCAGAATCTTGCTGAGTGTTGGCCTCCTACTAGGGGTTTGCTGTAAAATCTATTTAGTGAAACCTTTTCTGCTTCATCCAACTGGGCAGATCACTTAATTAGGATTTAAAGGTCTGTACCATCTAGGTCAGGCGTTTTCCCTACAAAATGCAGTTTCCAGGTGATAAAACTTCTGTTGCACCCAATAATTCACTCCTAGATGTTTCTCAGGCTCTGTTTCTCTTGAACACCACAACTGTTTCATTCTACTGAAAGCTTTAGTTATTAAAAAGAAGAATTTTATACTCGAATATTTGCAAAATAGCCCTATCCATTGTACTTGTTTTGCAAGTAGAATATTCCTTTTTTTCTGATTGAGCTGAGCAAACTCGTGTTGATGTTTGAATTTCTGTTTTTAAAACACTTTCTTAGGAGGATGAGGTCACTCATGAGTAGAGTAAAATTTCTACATTGAGAAGGAAAAGGGACTAAACTGCAGAAATAAGTTCTGTAATTCCTGGTTGCTGACAGTTCACAGACAGAAGAAAGCAGATTACAAGTTTCTCTTGTCTATACTTTATTATGCCAGACTCATCCTTCAGCCAAGGACCTCCAGAACACACCGTGTTTCTGCTGGGGTGGTTTGTGTGCTCCATAGTATTCCTCTGACAAAGAGTAAAGGCAGAGGGATTGTATTTGAACCAGATGTTCAGGTACAGTAAGAACTACATATTTTTCTCCCTCTTTAGAGCAGATTGGCCTAGTATCTGATCCATGATGTTTGTCCATGACATTACAGAAGCCTATTAAATAATCACTTTTTACCTCAGTTTCTTCCAAGTGGAGTAACTCTATAACATCCGCAACAGAAACAGGGAAGTATTTTTTTGTTTCCATTTGTGCTAGGAATTTCTCTATGGCTTAGATATGGAGAGAGATAACTTGGAGAGGGAGGAAGGACAGATTAAAGAGAAATCCTTATGACTACTTGTGTTACAAGACAGATTTCAAAAGAGCATGTAAATTCAATATCTGCAGAATAAGATTTGTGCATGACCAATTCCAGTTAATTCTCTCAGATCAAATGCTCTGAAATATTTGCAATAGCTTTTTATGCTTTAGCAGTGTATATTTCATTTGGCCTGCATATTTACTCAAGCAATAACCTCCAGAATGAAATAAACTTTGTTGGATCCCTTTCTTACTTTCTAATTCTCACCTGTGTGTCTCTTGCAATCATTATACCATAATCCTTGGGGAAAAAAATGCTAACTTACCTATTCATTGCTAAACAGAAAAATTCTATTTGTGTGCTACAGCTTCAGACAACTATTGGCCACCCACCTGATGAAGCACCTTTTAATCCTTATGTGCTGCAAAGGAAGAGAGGTCTTACAGGAGCAGAAAAAGGTAGGCAGAGTAATTTATGTTGTTAATACAATTTCCTTCTTTATGCCAGAGATGTCCCCTCAACTCGTATTTCTTTTTTCTTGCATATATTTCACACCATGTTGTGTATTGATATAGCCACTACCATTGCTCAAGCCTAGTAGCTGACACTGCCAGATGTCACCATCTGTAATAAAAGTTGTTTAGCAGAAATCCCTTTTTCCTTGTTGAAATGAAAGATTATTATTTCCTTGAGTCTAAAAGCTGCATCCTTGCACTTCATGAAAAGAATTGTGTCCTGTTGCATCCACAGTGCCAAGTTGGTGCTCAGGCTTTCTGTAAAATGCAGTTAAAGATGGTACCTAAGAACGAACTACATGAGGCAGCATTCTGAGTGAAGAATTGTCTGAGGTAACTAATGGAAAGTACTAAGGAGAAGGGCCAGCCCTTAACCCTACTTCTGGCAAGGAACCTGCTGGTTTCGTGTTACACAGATGCTCAATAATTAGACTATGTCACCAGGTGGAGTTCACTCTCTTTTGGGGTGTTCTAGAGTGCCTGTAGCTGGACTGCACAAGTCAAACACCCTGATGATCTTGAACATAGAAAGAGTGAATATAGTAGCTGTGGCACCAAAAGTATCTCACATAATGACTATTTTTTTCATTGATTGAACTGCAGGTGATCAGAGAGAGGCTTTACCCATGGATACTGAGGTCTATGAAAGTCCATATGCTGATCCAGATGAAATGAAACCAAAAAATGTTACTCTTGACAGGAAATTGTTAACCTTGGAGGAAGGAGAACTTGGCTCTGGCAACTTTGGTACTGTAAAGAAAGGGTTCTATAAGATGAAAAAGTAAGTGTTTCCTTCTGTTTTCACAGAGTCTAATATGTAAAAGCTCTAGCCTTTATTTTTTGAAACACCAGTAATCTTTGCATGTCTTCTGAGGTGAGAGTGTACCTAGGTAATTTGGGCTAACATTTACCTATTTCTGTCTTTGTACATACACGCATATGCTGATTTTCTATACGCTCATTTTCTTTTCCTCTGTTTGCAGACATCTCTTTGCCTGCATCATAGTCACCTCCCAGCCATTATTTTTGTCTGTAAAGTGGGAAGGTGTCCCTTACGACTATTTTCTCTCCTGTCAGGGAGAGCAGAGTGGGCAGTCCACTGTCTTCCTCCATAGTTTGTGTGGGCAGTCATGCTGCTCAGTATTTCCCATTTGTACTACTGCTCTTTGAGGAATAGCGTAGAGTGCCGTGGAGAGCTTACCTGTAGCAAAGAAATTTTCACCTAAAATAAGCCTGATAAATACCTGTTTCATGGAGCTGGAATGTTGATTTTCAAGAAGGCAGAACATATTGTGACCTCTTTTATCATGTAATTGCTGTAGGAACAGAACCTGGTTATACTGGCAGAAATGGGAGCATCTGACTGTTCATGTATTTTCATAGTAAAATGTTATCAGTATGTTGTTTAAGGCCATGGGCTCATTATGTATACATTTTCATGACCTGAAGCCAGAGGCATTTCTTTAACCAAGGTTTTCAGAGCCAGGAAGGATTTTTCTTTTTCCAGTACAGTCTGAGGGGGTTCAAAGGGCTTTGGTCCCAGCTTGTGCATTTGCTAATCTTGTTTCACACTTGAGGTCTGTCAATCTCATCAGTCACTCTTTCACTTACTTCTATGAGCTGAAGGTTGCAGAAGTAGGCTTAGTTTCTCAGGATTTCAGAGCACTGCCTTGGGGCCTTGAAATGCTGCATGTTATGTTCTCATCCCCAAAACACCTCAGTGCTTAGAGAAAAGCTTTATGGCATTCTTGACAGAATGGGCAAGAAAATTTTGTCTGGTATATTTGTTTTTCAACCTTGTTAAGACCTTTTTATGATTATTTATAATTTTCTCAGGTTCTTTCCATTCTCTCTCTTTTGCTTAGCTGTCTTCTGAGCATTTGATAGAGATGTTCCTGTTGCAGTCGGTGTTTTTCCCCTCTGAATGTCAATTCTGTCTTTTGTCACAGTTTCTACTATGTGCACAGAAACATCAGATGAAGATTGTGTGCCTTTGCACACAAATTTTTCATCAACTAATCCCAGAACCGAATTCTTTTTTGTAGGGGTGCCAAGTCAGTGGCTGTAAAAATTCTTAAGAATGAGAGTAATGATCCAGCCATAAAGGATGAATTACTGAGAGAAGCAAATGTAATGCAGCAACTGGATAACCCATATATTGTCCGAATGATAGGCATATGTGAAGCTGAGGCCTGGATGTTAGTAATGGAAATGGCTGAACTTGGGCCGTTGAACAAATTTTTGCAAAAAAATAGGTATGTAAGCTTTGATTCCATTTTGTAGGATTTATCCAAAGGGGAAAAAAGATACAGGTCCTTTTTTTTTTTTTTCTTTAAGAGCAATTTTAAATTGACATGTTGTTAATGTAGTAATTAATGATTGTATTTACTTTTCACTGGGACATGATTATCTTGTGCATGCGTCCTCACTGTCAAATATTTCTGGTAAAACAGTGCATTTTGAATAAATGAAAGAATTTTCACATGTCCTTCAGTTGCTCATTTATTGATATGATCACATATCATCTTGCTCAGGACATTCTTATGCTGCCTGTTCTAATTAAAGCTTAGCTAAACGTAAGTGCATCAAGTTCCTGGTATGATGTGGAGGAGTTCATAGTAAAGATTTATATTTGAACTTCATGAAAAGTCATGAAAATGAACTCCTGACCTCTTAAGAATTCAATTATGCTTTTCAGACATGTCACGGAGAAGAATATAACAGAGCTGGTACATCAGGTTTCCATGGGGATGAAATACCTGGAGGAGAATAACTTTGTTCATAGGGATCTGGCTGCAAGGAATGTTCTATTAGTCACCCAACATTATGCCAAAATTAGTGACTTTGGACTTTCTAAAGCTCTTAGTGCTGATGAAAATTATTATAAGGTAAGGTTTGCACAAGACATGAAAGCTGTATAGTAGTATAGCTTAATAAGGTTATTTTCAGTTGAAGTGCACTTGTTTTTAAAAGTTGAAAATTAGAAATAATATGTATCATCCATTATTTTATACCCTGATAGTAGGTCACTGATTTTCAAAATGCATGATCAACATTAAGAGATGTGTAGGGAGGAAAAAGGTAGTCCCTTCTTTTATTTGCTTACTTCTTTCATTTACTTTTGGTAGACTTGTCATTAGAAGATTGAAATTTATGGTGGAAATGAGATACCTCCTTACAAAAAAGGCAGAAAATGTCTTTGTTGCAGATACGAACTTTTGGGCACTTAAGGTTTTCGCCGTGTCCAAAGAAAATCTAGGCTAGAGCACTGTATTACTGACTAATAGAACTGAATTTGGGGAGGTTTTTGAAAGGTTACCATTGGTGAATAATCATTTGATCTGAGCAGAATTTGTTGAGCTTCGTTTTAAATTCATTTGATTTCAGCTAAAGGGGATGAAATAACTCCCACATTTAATAAGGTAAAACTATCTGTGAGAGATGAAGGCTTTAATTGTGTCAGCATCTTTTTTTCTGATATATTGCTTTTGCAGTTCAAATTGTTTCTTCCTTCTGCCTATTCCTTTTCATCGGCTGTTTAAAACTAATAAGCCACACCATGAAACGCTGCAGAGGAGGAGCAAGCACATACTCCCTTCTGATGACCTTCCTGTGGGAACAGTAACTGCTGCCAGAAAAGGCAGTACATGTTAAATCACTGCCACTAGCCTAGCTAGTTGCTTGTCAGAGGTTTGAGAATTGGTATCAAAGTCCCGCTTTCTTTACAACTCCACAGAATGCAGTGGGGTTCTTTCACCTAATCTAGCACTGTGCTGTGATAGCTTGACACTCGTGTTGTGGTAACACAGCGCTACGGCATGATTTAATCAAACTGCAGTTTGCCACAAGGCGGTTGCTGTGCTTTGAAATGGAGCGTCAACTTCAAGTAATAATGAGACTCAGCATAGCTGGATGTGTATCTCGCCCTCTGTGGAGAGCCTAGATGAAAATTCTTACTTTTAAAGAGCAGCTTTAAATTAAATGCCACTAAAAATATGACTTCATGTCACGTTTTGCTTTGCTTTACCATAGATTTCATTTCAGTGCATTATTTTGAAAGTGGAAGATTAGGAACAATTTTGTAACACTTTGAAGAAGCTGCTACCCATTCTCTCTAATGCCAGCTGCATCACAAATTTTATAGTACTTAGTACAAAAGTGTGCAGATCTAAGTTAACTTGGCTTATATGAATTCTGATGTTGTTACTACTTACCACTGTCTCTAGACTGCTTTTTTTCCTTTCTGTTATGACTTATTTTAGGCACAAAGTCATGGAAAATGGCCAGTCAAGTGGTATGCTCCTGAATGCATGAATTTCTACAAATTTTCTAGCAAAAGTGATGTCTGGAGCTTTGGGGTTTTAATGTGGGAAGCTTTCTCTTATGGACAAAAACCATATAAGGTGAGTAGTTGTATCTGGCAATGTTTTTTCTGTAAAAATTCAGAGCAAATTTGAACCAATACCTTTTCCTACCTAAAAAGAGTTATTGCAGGCCAAAGCAGGCCTTAACGCTCGATCTGTTGCAACAAATGAGTCAAAGGATAGCCCAAAAATAAACTCCATGCCTCTGTTTGTTTTGTACTAGCATGTGTGGTGTAATCATTTGCAACTTGGATGACTGTTCTGGTCACACTGTTCTAGGGAATGAAAGGTGGTGAAGTTGCACAGATGATTGAAAGAGGAGAACGAATGGAGTGTCCTGAAGTCTGTCCAACAGAAGTCTATGATCTAATGAAATTGTGTTGGACATACAAGTGAGTATGATGTGATGCTCTCTGTTGTAACAGAAGTATGTTTTAATCTACTTAGTTAATAGCCAGAAAGGGGGAGGGGTGGGCAGGGCGCTATATTTCCAAATATGTAGTTTCAGCTTACAAATAACCTCCAAACTAAGGAGTCAGTTGCACTTCCAGGTGAAAATTATTTGAGTTACTGTGTGTACTGCAAGAAGCTGATTTTGCACAGCTGATTATGCAGGAAAAGTTATATATCAAAAAAATCGGATATCATAAAACCCAAGTAATTCCACAAAAAGGGCAGTCATGTATTTTGAAAAGAAAGTTTGAAATTAAGCAATTATTTTTATTTCATTTTGGATTGTATTTTGTTTAATTTTCATTTCCAAGACCTTCTCTTTACTGAAATTTTGAAGTCACATTGCCAAATTATTCATTCCATTCCTCAATAATTAATTGTTTTGACCTATTTTTCTCTTCTCTCATTTCTGAATATACTCAGATTGGATCCCACATTGACTTCCTATTAGTAAGAGGGAAAACATCTTTTCAGATCGTATCTAATATGTCAGAAACATTTTTTCTGATCAATAACAATTCAGAAGTTAGAATTATGAAATACAAAGAAAAAGGAGAAAGCCTGATATTCTTTTTTAATTAGTATATTGCAAAAACATTATTAAAAATGTTTTAAGATTTATCATTTTAAACTATTCTGTTGAAGTTACTTTCAGCTGTAGGAAGGTCTCCATAAAGCGCCCAAACTGTGCTGTAATGTCACTTATTCTTCCAGTTTGCCATCTGGAGACTGTGTGTGTCCAACAAAGATCTCTGGTTTCCGTTTAAGGAGCTATGGTACTTCACTTTTAGGTACCTTGCTTCTTTGTTAATTTTATTACACCTAGTGCTCTAGAAAAAGTGTGGAGATATAAAACAATTTCTGCCTTTTCATTTGACTGGAAGAATGCCATAACTGTTCCAGAGTGAAAGGGATCATTTTTTGTCATGAACAGTAAGGATATCATAAAGCATGCTGCCTTTTATTTGTTTTTACTCAAGTATCTTTAATATTGGAAAGAAAAAAAAATTAAAAAGAAGCCTCAAGTCAGGCTGTCTATCTACCTCAATATGTGATGTTTTATTGTAAGGGCTTGTTGTCAATTTAATTGTGTTCTTCCAAATCCACAAATTGTTGCAGATATAGAGGAAAGATAGTACAGCTGTATGGTGTGTGCATGGGCTCCTCTCAGTGGTGCTAAGACACTCTGTATGAATGTAGTATGCATTATAGTATGACAGTACGCATTATAACCACAAAGTAGGAGGCATGATAGTGAATCCACTGCCTGGATGCTCCGTAGTGACATTTGCTACTTAGTATTAATTTTGTAGCATCATTTTGGTAGCCTTGAAATATTGTGAGCCGCTTTAAGTGATCTGTCACTGAGGTAAAGTCCCAAGCATTACAGGGCCCACGCACCTTGCCAGCTTTCTCCTTCCTACGCAGTGATACTTGTTGTCTTTCCGCAGTGTGGATGACCGACCAGGATTTGTTGCGGTCGAGCTGAGATTACGTAACTACTACTACGACATTTCCCACTAACAGCATGAAGGACAGCAGCTTCCCTGCCTCCAGCCAGCACCCTCTGAGAAGCAGTTCAGTGTCTGAAACTGAGTGAATTTGATTTTTGTACTGCAGCTTTCACTCTGCAAAGCTCAGAGCTAAGCCCTGTGTCTGCAGGGTTGCTTTTTCTTGCCTTCTACGCAATATCCAAGCCCTGAAATAGCATGTTGAAAGTGGAGAGGCCCCAAAGCAAGCAGCATGGATGTCAGAGCAGACACTTACAGTTTTGCTACATTTCATTTAATTTTATTTACAGCTTTATTGGCATTACATTTTGTGGTCATGCAAAGCCTATTTAATGTCTTTCAGACCTCTTCCTCTCTTGTATTTGAATGCAGATTGGAATTTAGATTCTTGCTATTAATATTCTTAGTCCTCAAATTCATTAAGAGTTATTCCAGCCTTCTCACTCCCCAAGGAAGAATAGCATAAACATTTCTCACTGTGAAGGAAATTCACTGTGAAAATGTGTCAGTCACTTTGACTGATAGCATGCTTGATTTTACCTCCAAGCCCCTTTAAAACCAAACTGTATTCTTCTCAGTAGTAATGTAGGCAAAGGGGAACTGGGAGATGTGAATTGCTAACATCATCCTCTCCTTCAAATGTGACCAACTTCTCTCATTCCTTATCTCATGTGCAAGCCCAGCTGTAAAAAACTGTCCTTCAGGCAGTTATTTTTTTTCCTGGTGAAACCTGGGAACTCAGGGGCTTGCTCTCATCTTGGAACAACCTAAGACAATGATTCTGGGTTTTAACATAAACTCCATTACTGCATTCCTGAAAAGACAGCTGTATAGTGAAAGGTGATGAAGCAGCACCTTTCTTTCTCTGTGCTGTTTCAGCCTTCTCCAGAGATATCTTTTCCATGTATCTCTTTGGGTATCCCAAAGCTCCTTGTGTTGTGTTTTGAGCAGCAATTTCTGTCTTTTTCTCAGACCTTTCTTGAAAAGCGTTTGTGAGAATTCACCACACTTTATCCCTTCTAAAGCTAAATTTCACCCCTAGCTCAAACATTGTAAAACAGACATGTAGACGTGCAGATTACTTTTGTCAGCTTCTAGGTGTTAGTATTTGTCCTGCTGTTAATCCTTGTGAGCATCTCAGGAAAAGGTATTTGTCTTATTCTTCTGTAATGCGCTGTGCATCTCCTTTAATGTGCAAGTGTAGCAATGGTAATAACAAATAACATCATCAACTTCTGATTCTGTTTTTATCCTTATGGTTTGTTTGTCCAATCTCATTTTAAATATTATAGATATCAAATCTTCTATCACTTCTTCCTCACAAGCAGCTTACTTTACTGGCATTTAGATATATCTCGGGAATCTACATACATTGCATCTACTAGATACAGAGATTTTAGAAGAATATAAAGAATAAGATTTAGAGTTGGATATATTTATTGCATATGGCTGGTTAGAACATATGTCTGTAATTGTTGTGCGAACAGGATATTCTTAGAGATGCTGTGATATTTTTTTCTCTAGCAAAGAAACTGTGGGCAACTTAGTGAAAAGTGTGAAAGAATTTTCATGAAAGTGATGACTATAAGTAAATGTAGGAATTACTGTATTATTTTTTAATTTTTACTAAGTTCATGGTCTATTTTTGAAAAATACCTGGTGACTTTTGGTAGTTCAATCTTTGGTGTCCAGTGCAAGACACTTCAGAAAGCACGTGCTACTGAAAGACATGTTTCAAATGTGACCAAACATGACTTATATTGAAGATGATTTATTTTTTGTTTTGTTTTCAAGAAACATTTTTCTACATGAACAGCTTGTATAGAAGTTTGCCATAGTTTTATGTAGATGTTTTGTTGCTTTAATCCTGCTGCAGAGAAATTGTTAGCTCTACATGTGCAATTAGTACATTCATGGGGATATTAGTTGTAAACAAATTGCACAAATCTCTCCTAGCTAGCAAATGACAGTACTCAATTTCCCTGATATCTCTCTCTCAGCATTATCTGATGCAATGATGCAACAAAACTGGAGGAATTTTTATTCCCCTCTCTTCTGAGTGAATGTCACTTTCTGGTGTTACTTGATTATTTTTAACCTTACTGTTATGTGATAGAAGTTTACAATGAGAATATAAAGTATTGTGAAATAAATGGATTAGGTTTTAAAATTGAAATTAAAGACACTGTTTTACAAAACATGTTGTTTCAACAAGGAGCCTTTAATATTTAAGTGCTTTCTGAAAAATGCTCGTGCTGTGCAGAGCATGTGTATTTATGGAATTACTGTGATTATTTTGGAAGACTGAGATTCCCCTGTTGACACTGAAAGGTACCTGACCGAAGCCTGGGCTGCTTTTGAAGCTATTCAGGACTAGCAGGAAAACCTCCCAAAATATATGTGTTTTATTACACCTGAGCCTTTCTAAGATACTGCTTTTCAACGATAGTGTGCTGGATCTGGAAGGTTAGAGGTGTCAGGATGTCAGTGATCCAAGGATTTCTGCATTACAGGTATCAGATGTGCAGGATTTAAGTCACATTATACCACATGGAGCATTCCTCGAAGGTGCAGGCAACTATTCTAGGTATTCTGAAATAACAACAGAGAGATCTTAGTCTTTCATTTAGCTTTTGCTGCAAGCTCAAGTCCTCAGGAGAGCAAAAACTGAATGCGACTGAATATGAATCTGAATAATAAACAAAGCCCAAAAGGTCGACAACTCTTCAAGCAGGTACTTGTGTTTGAGGGGGATCAGTCACTGACTGACTTACGCTGTACTGCTGTGGTAGTTTTCCTGCATAGCAGGTCTGGCCTAATTGTTCCACTGTCCCACTTGTGGGACTGCAGCTTCAGCTGAAGGGGCTTTTGTCTTTTGGCCTGTCTACATTTGGTTGTCTTTATTTTTAGATTGAGTCGTACGAGAAATGCCATTTGGCAGTGTAGCCCCACAAGTAATTGTCACAGCAGAGCTAAGGGGAGCAAACTGTAGCATGGAGGAAGGGATGCTGGTATGAGTAACTCAGAGAAGAAGGAGCAGGTGAGAACATGTTAAATGGATTTTTCAGTGGAGGGAAACACACTTTAAGTACAGCTTTGGTTAGGGCTCAAATCTACAAAACCATGGAGGTTTTTTTGGAGCACGGGAGGCTATGCAGCTTTTCCCATAAAGACCCACCCAAACTTCTTAAAAACCCTGGCACAATCTCCACCTGCTTCAAACACTATGCGAAAAGGGGGCTTTTAATCAGTCCACGAAATATACCTGTAGTTTTCACACCTGAAATCGACACAGTCAGAACTGCAGGTTTGATAAAGAGCACATATGAGAGCGGCTGTGCAGCTGGGCTGTGCGCTGAGGCAGCTGTATGGCTGCCAGGAGGCGGCAATACCTGAGCGGTATCAGACTGATGCACTTCTCCGAGCATTTCTGGCACTCTCCCTCCCATCAGGCTGTTGCTGTGCCTGTGTGTCACGGAGGAACTCATTCGTCCGTTTGCTGCTTGCTGTGAAGCAAAGTTCCGTGTGAGGACAAATTGTTAATGATTCATATCAGGAATGGTTAGCTGTGGTTGATTAACGAAAACTTCTGAAACTCTCTGTCCCCTTGCCTTGTAAGTGATACCAGCAGTGGGGATTGCAGGCAGAAAGATACAGAGTGTGTCCCACATGTGCATAGAAGGGAGTGAGGGTGGCATCTGAGTTGAATAGAACAGGGGAACATTAAGCCGGCAATTGTAATTACCAGCTGTAAGTTTAGAGAGGACAGAAAGCCTGTAAGTCATGCAGAAAAAGAAGAAGAAGGAAAAAAAAGAGAGAGAAAAAAAAAAGCACCAATTCTTGACAGTGAAGAAAAACAGCAGTGAAGAAAAACAGTATTGGACTTGAAATGATCCCAGACTCAGATGGAAAAGAGCCACTTCAAGAGTCAGGATCATTCCTCAGCAGCGTGTCCCAGAGCTACACGCCATGGTGCGACACAAGACAGCGGCACAACCAGCTTTGGGCCCCGGCTCTCCCCACCAGGTGGCCTGGGGGCCCGGTGGTAGTGGGGAGTGGTTGTAGGGCTGATGAGCAAGACTGGACAGCTGAATGCCTCCTACTGTAACTACAGGCAGATGAGTGTTGAGACACAAACACCTTTACTGGGGCAGCTGGGTAACGTGTGAAGGTTTGCAGGGTATAAGGAGGGAGGAATGAGGGTGGAGC